ACTTTTAAAGTTCCTACCTGCCTCGCATACCACAATTGAGTTTCTGAACAATAAACCTGTCAATATTACTTTACTCTCATTTCCTAATGGTCTTCTGGCCGTGTTTCTGTTTCTCATTTTATTTGGATCATTACCCAATACAGTGCTTCCACCCCAAACTGTGGGTAGAAGTTCTAAACAATATTTTATAATCCATTCTGTTTCTGTTTTAAATGCTGCATGCAAACTATCACAACCCACTAATGAGGTACCAATTACAATCTGAAAAATGCTGAACAAGTGTTTCCTAGTCTATTCTACTTTCAATTTTTGGTGAAAGACAACATTTTAATTATATAAAACTCCATCTCATAAAGCAGCAAAAAGTACAAATCAATATTCCCATATACTGCCTTTCCAAAAAGGCACAAGAGTTTATTTACACATCCTTTATGTTAAAGTAAAACCTATGTACTAATTGAAGAATGTGGTGACTACTGTTTTCTTAATAGACTTTAAGGGATGTCTTGAGATACAATGTTGCAAAATTATGAATATCTTTCCAGTGCTGAGGTATGTTTGAACAAAGTTTAGAGACTCATTTATGGACATTCAAAATTAGTCCTTTATATATATAAGAAGACATATAAGTGTCAAAAATTAAATGAGAGCATAATAAACCTAACTAGGAGACATTTTGACACATGAAGCTTCAAGATATGGCCAAGATGAGTAGTTGTCAGAAAAAGTAATTAAGATAGTCCCCACCTGTTTACACCATTTGGTTTAAGACAGTTGAACAATCCTAGTTTACAAGCCTGACCAAGGTTCCTCTAGCCATTCCCTGCAAAATGAAAGACTACAGTATTCATCTGCCAATAAAAAGCAAACAGAGCTTCCTTTATGTTCATGTTCAGAACCAAGCTGGTCTGCATTTATATTAGTGTTATTTCAGAATGTCTCATTCTCAGTAAATACCTGTGAAATTCTCAACAACAGTAAATCTGAAAGTAAACTAAACCTCCTTACAACAGGACTAAGAATTTAGGGATAATAACCAAGGGTAAAGAGAGGAGGAGATATGATGAGTTATAGCTCCCCATGGCTTTCCCACGTCATCACTGCTTCCAGTTTAGTATATAAGTTATTATTTTTCCTTTGGGGAAATAGGGCAGACAAAATCATCTAGTGTTTAGCTCCTGGTAGCTAGATGAGACTACCTGAAATTAGCTGATATAGAGAAAGGAAAAATGTGAGAAACAGAGAAAGAAAAAAGAACGGTAGAGACCAGCAAGGGAAAGGAATGAGGATGAAATGCAAAATGAAAAAGGAACAGAGAGTATACAAAATGGGGATGTGAAGAGGGTGCTAAAATGTACATGAGCATTTTATTAAACCACACTAATTTTAAAAGCATGACACTCTTTTTCTCTACTTAAGAAGTCATCATATCCACTGCAAAAAAACTGAGATTAGTGCTGTCCTAAAATAACCCCTATTTCCTTCCATAGAGAATAGGTTAACTGACTGATGACCTAACATGTTAAGTTGAACCATCGGAATTGCCTTACAGTTTATGGTGACAGATATGTTTCAACTGCATAAATTGTATCTCCGAAAGCAGCAAAAAATACAAATCGATATTCCCATATACTGCCTTTCCATAAAGTATGAGTTTATTTATAGATACTTTATTTTAAAGTAAATCCTATGCTTTTTCCCTGTTTTGAGATATATTTGATAAAATTGTATATGCTTAAAATATATAACCTGGGTGATTTGCTAGATATGTATTGTAAAATGACTACCACAATTAAGTAAATTGACATCTCCATCACCTAATGTAGTTAACTTTTTTTGTGTGTAAGAATGTTTATGATCTACTCTTAGCAAAGTTCAAGTACACAATACAGGATATTAAGTATAGTCATTGTGCTGTACATTAGTCCCCAGATCTTGCTTATTTTATAACTGAAATTCTGTACCGTTTGACCAAAATTCCAAGCCCCTGGTAATCTCTGTTCTACTCATGACCACCCTTGACCTACTAACACAGCAACTTCACTTAGTTCAACTTAATGTAATGGAATAATTTGCCATCATTAAAAAAATGAGATAGAGGTACACATGCTATTAAGAAAACGTCTAAACTGTAACTCCAAACAAACAAGACACAGCACTTGTGTAGAATGTTCCAATTAATAGTTTTTTATATATGTATGTGCATAGACATTTTCTGGAAGAACACCAAGAAAATGTCAACAACTGCCCCGAGACACAGACTAGAAGGTCTGGGATGAGAGCAAGATCACTTTTCACTGGCCACCCTCCCACCACTGAATATTTACCTCGTGCTGTTTAAATGTCTTATTATATGCATGCATTACTTTTTCAATTAAGAAAAGTCTGGATACTTTTCAAATGCCACCATCAACTTAAGACTCGACTCTTTACTAACTTTCAAATTATCTCAAACATTTAACCAGTATTTGTAACAAAGAACACTTCAAATAAGGTAATCACTTAAATTAGTGGCCTTTTTTCACTCCAAACCTGAACTAACTAAACAGCTTTATGATCGGGAAGATCTTGAAACTAAAATAAGTGCTATGTTTAACAATAATATCCATATAGATGAAGCATTATATATAAGTATATAATATATATACAGTCACTCATTTAGAAAATATATTTGATTTCCATGTATAAGTCTCTGCTGTAGGCCCTCTGTATATCTATGCATAAATGCTTTATAAAGAGACAGCGTATATACATGTGCATACATGTATATGTGTGGACGTATATGTGCATGTGCCACATATACCATCCTACGCTGCTACACAACAGATTTGAAGATGCCACTAGTAAACACAATCTGTCAGACCTGGTGGTTACCTGGTATATCTTCAGGATATATAAGCAAAAGCTGCTTTCTATCTTAAAAACCATTAAGCCTTGGGCTGGTCCTAGGGTCCCCTTCTTTTCCAGGCTCTCCCATCTTATCTGTACAGGGTATCAAGCAAGTATCTGTCTTGTTCTGAAGATCTTTCCCTTGACCTTTATCATGATCATAAATGAAGACTGGGAACGAATATCAAATGCAGTTCTCATTTTATGAATTCACTCACTTGCCCTCACGCTCTGCCCTGAGAATCAGTATATGTGATAAAGAATGTAACTGATGAAATCTGTAGCTTATATGAACAGTCCAAATTTGGGGGGCTGGCAGGGAGGTTGAGGCTCACTGGTATCAGAGGTGTTAGACCCTGATCGCAGGTTTCATACGTGAAAATGCTGATAAACTTATACACACTTATATGAGTTAGTATAAAAGGCAGAATTTCTGAAACAATACATCTTGGGAGATTTAAGGAACATTTTATTTAATAATCACTCTCTCTAATGATGGCAAAACAAATGTACTAAATACTTTATTAGAAAGCTAAATGGAAAACCAAAAATAAATATGCTTCTTGAATTTAACTTTAGTCTGGATAATATGCTTCACCCCAAACCACAGATCGTACCAAATTTAAACAGTATAAGCTTGACTATGACCATGAGTTCATAGCACCTACAAATTTTAGTGGTACTACCAATAAATTTGTTGACTTTACTCAATTCAAGTTAGAGCCAACTTCAAATTTTCTTTCAAACAGTATAAATTTACCAGTTAATCTTTATAAAACTCTAACCATTTCATATGAATACACAAAATATACCATTTTTAAACTTGCTATTTTGCCCATTATTAACAGTTCTGTGAACTTTTTTAAAATTAAGATTTCAACTTAGTGAAGTCCCTACTTATTTAGCCTTAATCTTCTAAAAATACTTTAAATTCCATATCCTTACGACAAATTGTTAAAGTTAAAAATGTCATTATTAAGAGGAGTTACAAGATGTGCCCTTAAAAAAATGACTCTTACTCTGCTAAGTCCATCTTGTTAACAGTTGTGTGTGCTTATGCATATTTATTTTTAAAAATGAGGCAGGCTAACATAAGCATGAATCCACAGGCATATAATAAAAGTCCTACTTTCAAATTGAGGTCCATTAACCTTAGAAAACAAATTCTCATAAAAATGGGTACAGAGTGAATGAACTTTTGCAAACTTATTTTTCAAGAGAGCACACAAATCCAGTGATTACATTGGTTCCCTTTCCAAATTCCTCATTAAAATCCCCCAGAGACAACCGAGTTTCTGCAAGATGATTTTTGAAGACGAAAATCAGAGTATATAAATAATCCTTTAGTCTTAAGCATTTGCTATGTATATTTTCAGGATCAAATTCAAACTCAACTTTGAGCCCTCACAGGTCAACAGTACCTGCTTCAGAAATAAGAGTTTAACAAATGCTAAACTCCATAACACAAGAGGTTAATTTTCACTATTAAAAATAACTATGGGTGTGTTGATAAAATCTGAATTCTGCATTTAACAGGAACCTACGACTCTTTAAAAGCCTGGGCTGCTTTTTGCGTCGCGCAGAGTACGCTTAACCACGAGCATCACTGACCGCCGGCGTCGCCGGACGGCTTTCTGCCTTGCAAAAGGCAGCAGGAGGCAGAGGCTGTCCGGGGTCACTCCCACCCGCCCTCACAGAGCGGCCAAGGCAGGAACAGGCTGCTGCCCGCGTTAGAGAAGCTGGCGGGCTCCCTACAGCTCTGGCTGGTCTGCCTGCGTGCGCAACGCACACGCTACCGAACCACCGCTCGGCCGGGAAGGCAAAAAATAGCAGTCCTTTTAAGTTCCCGGAGTGGGAGCTCTCCACAGCGCGGCGGGTTTTCCCACGCTCCACGCTCCCGCTCGCTTCTCGTCCGCCTCCGCCTCCGCCTCCGCGCGCCCCGCGCCTACCCCGCGGCCGGGAATCCCCTCCGGCCACTTGTCCAGCTCCCGCGGCCCCGCCCCCGGCCAGGCCCCGCCCCCACCGCCGCTCCCGCGCTCCCGGCACCGCCCCGCGCGCTCCCAGCGCCGCGGGCACCCACTCTTCTCCCCGCCCGCCGCCGTCCGCCTCACCTTGGTCCGGATCTGCCCCGAGGTGGACACTTTGCGGATCAGTTTCTGGGGTCCCTCTTGCTCCGCTTCGCTGTCGGACGAATCGTCTCCGGGACCCGCCGAGACCGCGGCGGCAGTAACCGCGGCGCTAGCCCCAGTGGCCGCTCCTCCAGCGGCGCCCGGAGGGTGGTGCTGGCCGCCGGCCCCAGCCATCCTTTCCACGTCCTGCGGGGACACAGCACCGCCCGGCGGGGGCGGCGGCGGCGGTCAGGCGGTGCGCTCTGTCCCGGCCGTGCCGGGAGCCCCGCGCCCAGCTGCCGCCATCTTCCGATCCCCTAGCCGCCCCCGCGGGGAAGGGTCCCCGGGGACCGGGCGCCCTCCCCAGGGGCCCCCAGGCTCCTTCGCCCGGCTGCGGCGACAACGGCGAGCGCGGAGGGGCACCAAGGACGCGAACCATGGCCCGCCTGGGACCCCTGCGCACCCCACCTCGGGATGTTACAGGGCTCGGACCCAGAACCGAGCAGCGCGGGTAGAGAAGACAGGAGTGAAGGGGGATCGGGAGAGCCTCCCACTTCCTCTAGGGCCTGGGGTCCCCGGGATGGGCGGGAGAGCGGGGAGAAGCCACGGCCAACCCCCGCAGGAGTGGCAGAGGCGATGCTTCCTCCCTGGGTTCATGGGCGCAGGAGTAAGAACGGCTCCCGGAGTGGAAAGAGAACCTCGAGCTTCCTCCCGCCTCCCCTGGGCGCACCCTGCCACCTTCTGGAACCAGAATCCAGAGAAGCTTGGGCCTTGCTCACAGTTCCCTCTGAATAAAAGTCCCCTCTGCCCCTGAGGTGGCTGGGCGCTGCTCCTTTTCTCACTACCCACCAGCCCTTCTCTGGTGACCCATACCTCTCCCGCCTCTGCCTTGGGGCTTGGGCCCTTGCAGCAATCCCAACCGCGCAGTTTGGTTTCTGGCCCACCCCCACCTTCATCCGGCGCACACGGAAGAGAAGAGCATTTTCCGGGAGGTTCCACTCCGCTCCGAGAACTTTTCGCTCAGAAAGAGCGATCCCTTTGCCTAACAGGAAACTGGGAAGGGCGGGGAGAGAGCGCAGAAACAAGAGAGTACCCGCCGCCCAAGACGACAGAATGCAAAATAATGTCCAAACTGAAGCGCTGGCCGAGACTGCCTGGAAGAAAACAATACACTGGAGCCATGTGAACACCAGTGCCCGAGCACGAAAACATTGGAGGTCCTTGGAGAGCCACTCCCTAACCAGGACTAGAGCGAGAGGAAACGGGATCAACAGGCAGCAGCCACCGCGCACAGCTCGTCCCCAGCGAGCTGGTTAAAGCGGGCACTTGGGATCAATAGCCTCGCGGCAGGTCGTACCGACTCAGCGTCAAAGAACTCTTGTAGGTGTGGGAGGGCTTGGGGGAAAAGATAGTAAAATGACAGATTTCCTCCCAACTGGTGTCCGCTACGTTTTTAAGTAGGGCAAAAAGTCCCTGCTAGACTCTGGATCTCCTCACGCTTCAGTAAAGCATTCAGTCCCCTTCTCGTGTTCATGCCCTTCAGAACCCATTCGTATTTTTCAGTTGATATGTATGACCTTTAAGGGTCATCCAAATTAAGATGCTATTGGGTTTTTTTTAGTTTGCAATCTTAATCTCAACAATAATTTGCCATGTCAGAACTACCAGTTCTAAGAGGCTTTAAAAAACAATATGCAATCCCAACACTATATATCCACTTTGTTGATTAAATTCATTAAAATGTAAAATGTGCTGGTTAGTTTGAATCTCCAAAGACAGGAGATTGCAGCCATGTGATACTGCTAGAGGTTACTTCTCCAGCTTCATTTGTCTTCTTAAGGAAGAGAAGGAGTTGGACAAAATTAACTTTAAGAGTTCTTATGGCCCTGTAATTCAATATCTACAAATAACATAATCACTGTGAAAAGAATTATTGAAGAGAAAAAATAATCAAAATAATGGCCTTTAGCCCAGTTTATTCGGCACTGACAAGTCCAATGGTTTGGCAGTGTAGACAAGAACACCTGGCAAAGGGACCTTTTAAAGAACAAACCTAGTTCAGACCTCTCTTTTACTGTAAAGAAATGGAGGCCCAAAATCCAGGGCTGGGACCAAAGTCAAAACCATGTGATTACTATCTTAATGTTCTATTCACTTTACCACATACAACAAAGTTAGTCAATTATTGTATGCTTCTATTCACACTTTAGGCTTTCGAGTTTTATAGGGTATCATTTTCCAGAATCCAGGCAGACTAAAAGGCAGGGTTTAACGCCCATGTCTATTCTGTGATCTTAAGAAAACTGAATACATTTCTCACTCTGATTCAATAAGACTGCATCAACACAGTTTAAAAGAGCTTCATGTACAAGAGCTGAGCAAATAGATTCTCAAAGTAAAAGTATTAATTACTTCATAAAAATTAACCTCATAGTTAACACCTGCTCTTCAAAAACTCCATAGCAAGTTCCAAAACTTGGTAGCTACTTGGAAAGCATAGCCAGTCTTAGACAGCTCATGCTAAATAAATTATCCCTGCTCTACAATTTCTCTGGCACATAGAATGCTCAGAGTAAAAATACTGAATGAAGGAATGTCACTTCATTTCCCACAAAAGGCAGCTCATGAAAAACCCTCTTTCCCTCAATTATCTCTTCTGAGGAGACTATTTCAAGTAATCCCTAATTTAAGGTACCTGATCACTGGTTTCTTCTCAGATCTTATCTATAAATTAAAAGTTTCCAGATGAATATTCAATCTGTATATTATAAACCTGAAATGCTCTTCATTTTCCTTAAAAATAGCATAGCAATGTCCAACGGCTCAATATTTTTCAACCATCTTAGTGTAGCTCAAAATGGCAACTAAAATTTCAAATATGTGGTATACAACATTATTTCTTTGATTTACAAGATTTCCTTGGCTTTTCCTTACTTGTTTTCAAATTTCCAAGTAATTTCTTAGACCTGTCTTAGATTATTTCTTTTATTATTGTTACTTTGAAATCTTTCTTTGGAACATACATATCACAAACACACTATTAAAAACTTGAACATAAGCCACATAGACATTGTGCTCAGGATGTAATGGAAATAGAAGTTACCATTAAATTAGCTTTCTACTTATAGGGCTTCCTGTTCTATTAAAAAAAAATTATTATACTGAAGATGTATAAATCACAGCCAATTATTCTAATACCAATTTTATGAAAACTGGTATATTGTTATTTATTAAGTCATATTATCATCATTGATCAATACTCATAACAAAGAAAGCTAAACATCTTTATGTAACTTTTAAATCCCCTGTGTTCTATTGTTTTACATTAAATATTATATATATATAACATGTAGAAATCTACATTTATATCCTGAAGAACCCAAGCAGGCACTTTCAAAACTATCTTATCCCAGGACTCACATTTCTAATCAATGGGAACCATGCAAAGATCGCTGCAAGTTTAAAAAGTACAGGCCTGCTTGCATTCAAACTTTAGAACTACTTCCAAAATATACTGTTACCTCTTTAGAACTTAACATTCAAAACTTTATGAAAATTTTTTTGTTACCTTAACTGAAAAGACTGAGATTAATTGTGATACCAACTGCATGCATACATGGTCATACCCTGCACCCAAGCAAGAATCTTTTGTCATCTAGATCTAATGTATAAAATGCTTATAACCTCTCATATTCTTGACCCTTTTTCCTTGGAAACACTTCCCTTCCTAATCTTCCATGAGTGCTGAAGTTTCATCAGAGCCAACTAGATAAAAATTATGTGGAAATAAAAACAAATTTTAGTAAGATGTACCCTAGTATCATTCCTCTAAGAACTACTTTGTAAAATACACCCACACCTTTAAAATTTTGGCTAGAATTCAAACTATCCATTTCCCCCTCAAGATGTTATCTATGAGTAAGGGGTCATAGGTAAATATCTTCCTGCCCACCTTTTCCCACCACCAAAATATTTTTAATTGATTAGAAATTTAGGTAATGCCTCTATTTCCACTGATTTGATTATATTCCAAAGCAAGCATTAAAGGACATACACAGTAACCTGAATGCTAACATTTATCTTCTTTTAAGCCCAATGCCCTAACTGGAGTAATAATAAGGCTGACAGTTTATTTAAAGGCTCTCACTTAACTAAGTAACTTCATTTCATTTCCAAATACAAAGGATGTCATTAAGTCCAGAAGCTGCTTCTCAGATCCAGACAAGGGTGTATTTCAAGTCAGAAGTGTTGTTTTCTTAACTATTCAGCATTGATTCCTTAAATTGTTACTTTTCTGTTTGAATAGTTCCATGTAGAATCATGTTCTAGGCTCCATCAAAAAACACTAAGGAGACCAAATCTTCAATACATGCTGTTATATACAATAAGGGATAATGCAACAGGATCTGTGTAATGTGAATATTGCCTGTTCAATATTGAATATGCCTTTTCATAAATATAAGTGAATATACTATTATGATAAAGCATTAAAATTGCCTATATTTAAATTCAAAAAGCAGATTTCAAACAAATGCAAAATGAAGTCTAGGTCAGAAATGAGGTTCTCAACCCAAGTTCTTTGAGGGTCCCCAGATTGGGTTCTAGGAATTCTGTGATTCTCTTGAGATTTTATTATTAAACATTTTTATTAAAACTAAGTATTTTAAGAAAGTATGCTGTGAGGATTTAAGGATTTGTCTTTGTTGTTAACTGCTATATCCAACAGTCCTAGAATATAGCAGGTGCTGGATAAAATCTGTTGAGTAAATAAAAAGGCCTTCAGTGTTTATGTATGTATGTATAAGTATGTTACATAGGCATATTTTGGGGAGTGAGTCCATAGCTTTGATTAGATTCTTAAAGGGGTCACTGACCCAAGAAAAGTTCAAGAATCCCTGAATTTTGGTGAAATTTTGTGTCCCTTCATACAATTAGATTAGGTTGATAGTTCTTTCACTCCAGTTCTGAAATAATTAAAATTTAAATACTTTTTTCCCTAATTTATCTTCTTTTTTCTTTATATGCCACTTCCAATAATTTGGTTAACTTATCTTAAATGAGAATTCTCAAAACTTTGTGATTATTCACATGTGGCCACAGAGTTTCAAATAAAATCACTTTGCCAAAAGTATCATTTTATGCCAATACCTGAGATCTCTTAAGACTTTTTTTGGGAGGCTATCTAAATGTAAACTATTAACATATATGAAACTGACATTCTGTTCATTTAAGAATGTATGTCCTGTGAGGACTTAAGGATTTGTGTCTGTTTTGTAACTGCTATATCCAACACTCCTAGAACTTATTAGATGCTGGATGAACCAACTGTTGAGTAAAATAAAAAAGCTTTCAGTGTTTAAAGAAAATAGGCCTAATTTTTTAGGAGAGTTCTGGGGTCTGGATAAAAAGTCCCAATTCATTTACACATTTCTGTTAGGACTATAGTTTTAAGGGCCAATAAATGAGCATTTTCATTTTTGTCACTTTAAGTGAAACAAAAAATTAAAATTTTTCTTTTTTTTCCTAGGCACAAAGTAGATGTGGCATCAGCACCCTTAAGTAAAATACATATAACAGGTATTTTTCATTGTGACTGGTGTTGGCTGAAAGTCTCTGGGTTCAAAAGGGTCTTCCTATAGAAAAGGTTAAAAGTAACAATGGAACAAAAACAGGTCACTGATTTTACTTCTCAATGATCCTTGATTTACATTTTAAAACTGAATTCTATTTTTAATTTCAAGAATAATTTAATCCCCAGCGATAACCACAATCAAAGAAGTATGAGCAGATGGGTAACCTAACAACATGTTCACATTTACAAAAGCAAAGGCAGCTTGCAGGTACAGACGGATCTAAGTCGAAGGACACTTCTAAAAAGGTCGGGAAACAGGAGGCAGAGAAAAGTACTTGGGCAAAGGAGCTGGGAGTTTACACATTAGAAAAGAAAAAGGAGAACCTAGCGTAGCACCTGACCTAGAAGCTCTGAACAGACACGGGGGCTAGCCCGAGCCGACGTGCGGGGTTCCTGGGAAAAAAGCAACAGAACACCTCGAACAGAAGACGGGTGAGGCCAGATATTTCGGACGAAGCTTTTCAAATAGGTTCAAGAATTTCAACAAAGGCGAAGTAGCATCGAGGGAGGGCGTGAGGAGCCCAAACGCGATGCCAGGGAAAGGCAGTCCACACCGGACTGCAGAGCTCTGCGTGAGACGGGGATTCCGGGGCAGACTCCCCGGAGGGATGTGCGATGGTTCTGACTGCCTGAGTTGGAAGAAAGAAGTTTGGAGGAGTTTGAGGAAACAAATCCAAAGGCAACCCCCCCCCCAACACACCCCGGTCTCCTCCTCGTCTTCACGCACCCAATACCCACGGCACACGCTCCTCTAGGTTCCTAAAATTACCCAACCTCCGCGTTGCATGTGCAGCAAAATCTTGGGCGAAATGGAGGTTAGCTTCCCGCTTCATCCCTGGCAAGAAAAACACAAATCCCTGAACCCTAAAAAGCCCGGGGCTTTAGCTGCGAGCAGGAGTGGGAGGCGTGGTCCCGGGCTTCGAGCGGCGCTCAGCCTCCCAGCCGGAGGTCCTCAGGAACCTGCGCGCCCAGGTGCCTGCCAGGGCGCGCCCTCGGGAGGGAAGACCGGTCCCCTCCGAGCGCAGCACGCGGACCCCACGGTCGGAGTTCCTCCTCTCCCCTTTCCTACCCTGACGCCCTGAAATCAAGTAAAAAGTTGGTAAGTCGATGAAGCGAAGCAAACGATCCTCCCAGGGCCGTCGTGAGGTCCGGCCGCTCGGGAAGAGCCTCGGCTGGCCGGACAAAGGCGCTCCGGGCGGCGAGCGAGGAGCCCAGGCGGCGGAGGAAGCGCTGCCCCGGCTGGGAAGCAGCTGGGAACCTCATCCCGGGCCATTTCCTGAACGGAACCCGGCCCGGGAGGGGGAAGCAGAGGAGCAGTGGGAGGGGGTGCGCGCGGGCGCGGTACCCACCGGTTCCTCCCAGGCCGGGCTGCGGGCGCCGGGCGCGGGGCGCACGTGCTGCGGCTCCATCGCGCCGGCCCGCGCCCGCCGGCCGCCGGGGCGCGGGGACCCGGACCCCCGCCGCGACCGGAGCCGCTGGATGCGCTTCCCTCGCCGCGGTCCTCTCGGCCGCCGCCGCCGCCGCCCGGCTCCCGCCCGGGGCCAACCACCGGCCCTCCCGCTGGCTCCGGCTTCCGCCGCGTTGCGCTCTCCCGCCCCCGCGCCGGTCCCTTCCTCCTCCACCTCCTCCTCCTTCTCCTCCTCCTCGGTCCAGCTCCGAGCGGTCCGCTCCCCGCCGCCGCCACCGCCGCCTCCCACGGCCGCAGAATCCGCCCCTCGCTCCTTCCTCCGCCCACGGCTCCCTCCCCTTTTCCTCCCCGCTTCGCGCCCCTCCCCCCGTCGCCCCCTCCTCCCGGCGGGCGGCCCGGGACGCACGTGACCCCCCTGTCAGGCCTTATAAGGCGCGGAACCGAAAGCGGTCGCGGGGTGGTCACGGGCACCGGGCGGCTGGGGGTACTGGAGCGGCCTCCCCCGGGACCGGGAGCGGCGGGGAAAGCCCGGGCTGGGCCGGCGCACGCTCCGGCGACCGGAGCGGCGGTGGCCGGGAGTCCCGGGAGACTCCTCCCAGCGCCCCTCTCCCTGTCTCCCTCTCCCGGTGCCTGCAGCCCGCGCCTGCCTCCCTCCAAACGTTGGCTGCCCGCACTACAGGCACCTCCCCTCCTTTGGACGCTGAGGCTTGAAAGAAATCACCCTGGACAGTAACCGACTTGAACAGAGCAAGGGAGATACTGCACTCCAGAGCCGCTCCGACAGCCACGCCGAGAATGGCTTATTCTTTGTGATGTTAAAAAGCTTGCAGACGGGTGACCATCTGCAAGAGAGGTTAAGCTTGAGAGAGCCCTTGTTTCATTCAGTTTTAATGATTAACGGTTTCGTGGAAAGAAAACTGGCCAAGGAGTCGATCTGCCTTCCAATACGAGCATTACATTCAAATTAAGGAAATGGACTGGTTCAGAGCGAACGCCCAATAAATAGCAAGTCACCTCCTCCAGCCCTTTGAGAACAACTTTTCAAATGGCATTTCCGATCATCTTTGTGGCATCAAAGTCTGCTTCCATCTAGTTTCAATCCAAAAATGGCTTTTCACAGGTTATTCCCTCTCCTGGACTCTTAGGCCCCTTCTACCAGCATCTTCCTACCGCCCTTATGTCAAACACATTCAAACATTTTAAACAAGCCGAAAAATTAAAAACACACTTGATCCAGTCTGCCTCCATTCCCCACCTCCTCACAGCCAAACTCCTGAGGGTGATAAATGCTTGTTCTTATTCCCGGCAAACCAAACTTCTACCCAGGCAACACTGCCAAAGACCCCCTGTGGCTTTGAAAATTCCCTAACCCACTGGGTCGTTAGTGTTTATTTTCCAATTCTTTTCTTAACCTATCTGCAGCATTTGTAACTGGGGACCAGACTTACTTTGAAACTATTCCTTCCACTGGCCCCTATGACACTTCAGCATCCAAATTCTCTAACCATTTCTTGCTCAGCCCATTTGCCACCTCTTACATGTTGGAGAGCCTGAATAGTCTGCCTTTGGTCTGTTGCTAAAGCTGCCTGGTCTATCCAGACCCACCCATGTCTTAACTACCAAGAGGTGCTGATAATTCACAAACATTCCTATCCCAAATCTCCAGGTCTGTAAAACCAACTTCTTACCAAAAATTTCTACCCAAATGTCCCGCGGGCCTTAAATTCAGCTTGACTAAAACAGAAGTTAACTTTCCTGTCAGCTGACTTCTTTTTCCCTCTAGTCATGCTCTCTCAGTAAATATCTCCACAACCAACCTAACACAAAAGAGAAGAAGGAAAATTGTTCCAGGCTCCTCCTTCTCCCTCTCATTGTCCCCCTCCATTGCATGAGACATTCTTATCACCTTGCCTCCATTTCACTTTTCTTCCCTGGCTTCAGGTCCTTTGTTTCAAGCCCCTGAAACATTGCATTACTTTCCTTATGAGCCTCACTGCCTCTAAACTGGTGGCACCTCCACTCCTGCCATATCTCACACTGTGGCCAAAGTAAGCCTTCTGAAATACAAAATTGAGCAAGTCATTACCTAGACAAGTCCTTCAAATTGCTCCCCATTACCTTTAGGGTGAAGACCAAATACCTTAGCCACTATCTATTTCTTCAGTCCCATCAATCTACTCTTGAGTTCCTCACATGCAGTTCCCTATCAGGCCACTTATTTTTATGCTGTGCGCTCTCATGGAATGGCCTTCCTCTTATTCAGCCTGCCCAAACACCTGCTCATCTTTCAAGATTCAATCTAAGAGTCACTGTTCTTATGAAATCTTTTGACCCTGCTGTACATTAGAACTGGCCACTCTCTAGACTTTTTGCCAAACTCACCCCCATCATAATGCCTTGGAAGACTTTATTAAACTCATTTTTAATATATAATTTCTCTGATGACAAGTACTATGACAGACTTCTATGCTACTTCTCAGTACAATTTCTGACACATAGTAGGTACTCATTAGATGTCACATGAATTATATGATAGACTTTGAGTTACTATGTTTTTATGGTTATAGAAAATCATCTTCCCACACATCATCTCTTAATTCTCACAATTCTGCAATTAATATTATCATCTTTATAAAGATGACAACTGAAACTAGAAAAGAATATAGCAACTTGCCCAAGATTCTGCTGTATAAATCACAACACCAGGACTACAACCCAGTTTGCCCAGTCAAGTTTATTTCACATTTATCTATTGTTTTATACCTTAAATTCTATTTTGTACGATATAATAGCTCTTTTTGCTAGTGGTTACCTAGTATATCTCTTTCCATCTCTTTATTTGCAACTATTCTGAATCACTATGTGTGTCTTATAAATAACAATTTAATTTACCTATTATTAACTCATTCTGAGAGTCTGCCTTTCAGTAACAGATTTTAATTGATTTGCATTTATCATGTATATTAATTAGGGTAAAAGGTTGTTGTAAGAAAGATCCTTCCTCCCTCCTTCCCCCAAAACATAATGTCTGTTTCTCTCTCATGAAACAGTCTTGGGATAAGAGGTCCAGGTTGCTGGGCGGCTCCTTTGCACCATATCGCTATTCCATTCCCTAGGGCATTACCTTCATCTGCCTGGTAGAAGCTGGTTACAGAATTCCAGCACACAGCAGGAAGAGGAGAGTATAAGGAGCACAGCTTCTTAAAGCCTAGACCTAGAAGTGACACATTTCTCATCTGCTCATATCCCATTGACCAGAACTTAGTTACATGGTCACACCTAGCAGTAAAGGAGTGGGGAAATGAGGCCACCAACCAGGCAACTTTGTCCCAACCACGACTCTACTACTATGGAAAACAGAGAACAGATTTTGGTGAAAACTAGCTCTCCACCACATTATGATCACCATCTTTGGATTTATTACCACCTTTTCATTTCCCATTTATTTAACTTTCTCTTTCTTTGCTTCTTTTTTCTTTCTTGCCTTCTATTCTATTAACTGAATTATTTAGTTTTCACTCCCTTTTTCTAAACACTTATATTGGTTTGATATTTTTACCTTGTATTTCAATTCTTATTGGTTACCCTTAACATAATAACATTAATACTTAACATCCCAGATTAGTCAATATCTTCATTCCCTTCCTTGAAAGATAATCTTAAAGAAATAAAAATAAATAAAACACTTTAAGTCCCAAGTTCCTCTTCTATAAACTTGTATTGATATCTAGTATTTTCTTAATTCCCATTTTTCAATTGTTTACTAATCATCATTATTATTTTATAGTTATTTAATTAATTTTTCCAACATGTTTTATCAATGGTTTTCCTTACTATTTGCTTTTTGTATCCCATTCTTTTCTTCAAGGCTCAATTTATGTCTTGATGAAGTACATTCTATAGTATTCTATAGTATTTCTTTCATCATATCTGTGAGTAAAATTCTCTATGTCTCTGTATATGACTCTTACTGTATTTTCTCTTACATTCTTGAATCATAATTTCATCAGCTAAGGAATTCTAAGTTGACAATTATTGACTCCAACACGTTGAAGTTACCTTCTGGCATCTTCTGTTGGTAATTAGAAGTCTGTAGTCAGTCTCACTGTTATTGTTTTATAGCCTTTTTTTCTGTTCAATAACTTAATATTTCCTTTTATTTAGTTGGTGTTTACATTACTGATTTGTGTGTAAGTGGATTCTGTTTTTAGATATTTTTCTCAGGACTTGGCATATGCATTTTCAAACTGAGAACTCAACCTTTCTTCAGTTTTGGAAATTTTTCACCCCTCATGTATTTCAAATATTGTTTCCCCCATCCCCGCCCCATGCATTTTTCTCTATTTCATCTTTATGGAACTCCTATTAGGTAAGAGTTGGAGTTCCTCATTTTATTATGTCTTAATTTTTCATTCATATTTTCCATCATTTTCTCTGTGCTAATACTGGGTAATTTTCTCAGATCTATCATCCAATTCCCTATTCTTCCTTACAACTGTATTGTCTACAGCTGTAGAGGCAACTTTACAACTGTATTGTCTGTAATATAGCTATTGGATTTTTATTTATTTACATGTCTAGTATTTTTATTGCATTCTGTTTAAAACCTATCTATTCTATTTTCATACTATTTTACTTTTAACTGGAGTTTATTCTTTCCTTTGTCTCTTTGAACATTTTACACACAGTTATTTAAAAATCTGGCTCACTTACATGTCTGGCAGTGGATGATGGAAGACTCAAACAGATGAGGACTGGCACTGCCTGCGGCTCCGTAGGTGTCTCTCTCTAAGGGGCCTCTCCGCTACTCTTCCCAGCAGGGTGGCTTCAGGGTACCTGAATTGACTTCTTCTATGTAGGATCAGTGCTCCCAGAGTAGAAAAAGCAAGCTAGGTAGATGCTGTATCCTATTAGAAACTCACCTCAGAAGTCACATAGCATCACTTCTACCAAACTAATTGATTGGAGCCATCACAAAACCCTGCCCAGTTTCAAGGATATGGAACATAGATTCCACTTGCCAGTGGGAGGATTATCAGAAATATTGTAAGAGACACATGTGGGATTATATATGTGTATATATATATATATGTGTGTGTGTATACACACACACACACACACACACACAC